CAATATTAATGAAAGGTGTGGGTCACATTTGATAATGCCCTTAATCACTTCCCAGCACTGCAGTCTGATCTTTGAGATGAATGACTTTATGTTCTTATGAATGTCAACTACACCGTTGCTTTCGTCCACAGACACAGATGACACTTCTGGGATATAGGTATATAGGATTGCAGAGTCAAACAGCCTCACTCCCTTGCCTCTCTCTCCCTCCTACTTGCCAGACACAATCCCAGCAGGTGCTCAACCCAATTCTATGTCTGTTCTATTGCTCGAGCTGAACACAGCTGCAAAGAAAACACACAACCCGAGAGATCCATGGCTCTCAAAATTCACAACCAAAATACCCGATGGGGCCAGGATGCTGTGGGGTCAAGCTACATTTCCCTGGTCCCGACATTCTCCCTGTCTCTACATTAACTGTAGTGCCTTATGCTCCTTAATCTCCTCTCCCTCCTCTCCTTCCACACTGATGTTTGCTGATGACCTCCTGTATTCTTTTCCTTATAAAGAAACTATCTACAGAAAAGCACCTGATCAGCCCAGCAGAAAATGCTCCATCCTACCCATGTCTGTGCCCATATGCTCTGTCTTCCCTCCTGCTATGCAGGGAGAAGGTGGCCATGTCCGAAAGCTGAGCTCTTTATTTGTGCACTGAATCTCATCACCTTTGTCCTGATTCCCCCAGAGATTCCCCCGCCTTTTTTTCCCTGCAAAAGCTTACTTGTTTGGAGCTCTCCCTAGCTCCCCCTGCCCCTTTTTAAGAATCTACCAGTGTTGCTAAGAATGGCCTCGCAGCTTTTACTTGGTGTGTCTACTCCTTACCATGAATGCCCAATTCATTAGCAAGTCCTCCCGAGTTCTACCTGCATGATATATCTTAGGATATATGCTTCATATGAGGCATCTAGAAGAGGCGGATTCACAAAGATACAAAGTAGAGTAGTGGTTACCAGAGGCTGAAGGGAGGGAGGAAAGGGGAGTTAGTGTTAATGAGCACAGAATTTAAGTGTGGAATGATGAAAATGTTCTGGGGATGGACGGTGGTGATGGTCACAAAACAATGCGTATGTACTTAATGTCACTGAACTGTATACTTAAAAATGGTACAAATGGTAAATTTTATCTTATATATATTTTATATTTTTTAAAAAGCCCAGTTAAGAAGATATCTATGCATATATTTGAATCCGACCACATTTTACTTCCCCTCTTGCTGTCATTCTATTTCAAAGCGCGCTCATTCCCACCTGCATTATTCCTCCCAAAACATCTCCCTGCTGGACAGCTTGCTCCCACCTCAGTCTGGTCTCTGCACACAGCAGCAGAGTGAGGTTCTAAACCGGAAAGGAGATCCTGTAATGTGCCAGATCACAATTCTGTTAGAATAAAACCCAGCTCTCTACAAATGCCTTGCTCTTTCTCAAACACCCAGGGCTTTCGTCCCTACTTTCGCTCCCTTCCAGAATCTTCTCCCCGCAGTGGGCTCCCTGACTTCATTCAGGTCTCTGCTTCCATGTCACCTCCTCACAGAGGCCCTTCCTGACTACCTTACAGCAGCCTCTCAATGCACAGGCACGTGTGTGTGCAAACCCACCCACGCATGTCTGGTCCTATACCTTCCTCTGCTCTCTTTTTCTTAACAGTTCTTTTTACTACCAGATATCACGTATTTATTTGTTCCCTTATTTAACCTATTACTCAACCCCTCTGCAGTTAAACTCAATGAACTGTCAACAGCTGCTTTCCCAGACCTCAGCCATGACCAGTCTGTAATGGGAGTTCAAGAACTATCTATATCCTAAAAGGCTGTGCACATGAAATTTGAAGTTTAGCAAGTGGCCAGTGGAAGTGTTCCAAAGCAGGTCACTGCTCATGTCCAAAAGGGTTCTCCTTTAAAAACAAAGACCTTCAGGAACCAGTGACAATACTTGAGAAGGGACAGCTGACACCAGGAATGAGTGGGGGGAGGGGAAGAGAAGAGATAATGGAGGCCAGGGTGCAGAAACAAATGGAAGAGACTGGTATTTGTGACACATTATCATCAATGATTGTCATTTAGATGAGAAAGGGTTGAAAGTTCTCCCGAGCAAGACTCACTTAATATTTAAGGAAAATATCCTTCAGAAGATTATGTCACTTAAGTCAGAAACAGACTTGTTGAAAGGCTACTGGTAGGCAGGTCATCCCCAAGTGATGAGAATGAAAGGCACTTTAATGAGAAACACGTGGAGGGCATTCAGCATGGGACTTTTAGTGACAAATCAGAGATAGCCCCAGGCACCTGGGACAAGGTGATGACCCTCTCAGATTCAGCTCAGGGACAGAACTGGTGTGAAAGCTAACTCCCGGTGTTTCTCACTACAGTTTGTGGGCAAACTGCGACCCTGAGCCTTTCTACCTCCTGTGACCTCAGAGACCTCCTCTGGGTGTCTTTAACCTCCACCTCCCATGTAATTATTTTTATTCAATGGGAACCTATGGGTTTCTGCAAATCCTCAAGTAAGTATCTCAAAGCAGGGAGGAAAGTTATGTTTATAAATTACGATACATCCAATGACCATGTGGCTCCCCTGCCCCCAACCCTCATTCCAGCTCCCTTCACCCAACCCACTTGGGGGGTTCACCCCTTACCTCAGACCTAATCCTACTTGTGGACTTGGAGCAGTTTGAGAGTCTCTGGCCTGCTTCTCTGACCTTGTGCCTCAGCTTTGCACCTGGTGCATGCTTCTCCCCTACTTTTTGCCCTAGACCCTTGACTGGGTCCCCACTTGTCAATGTTTCTGTGTGCTGCTACCTGCCTTGGTAAGTTAGCGAGGGTCCACAGTCTCTCTGAATGGCGTGAGGCGTGTGCAGGGGGTCCCGGCTCTTCCAGCATCCCTGACATCCTGACCCGCCTTGGCCTGCTCTTTGACTCCATGTTTCTGGGCTTTGCGCCTCATTGTGGCCAGGTCACTGTAAGGGAGCCTCTCCGGGTCCCCCCGTAGGCCATTCACAAGGAGAGCACCTCTGGGAGCTTTACGAGAAAGGTACCCCCACCCCCCCACCAGGAAGATAAATTAAAAAAAGATGTTCCAAGATGACCAGTTAGGAAAACAGCACCCTTTCCTCAGGCAGCCTGTAAGGCATGGAGCTTGGCAGACAGAACTTGGCAGGTTTGCCCCCGCCCCCCAGCACCCCCGAGCTGGGTGTATAACTTACACCACCATGTACCTAGTTCTCCTCCTCATCACTGACTAACCGGCCCAGCTGCCACCGGTGCCCGACCCCATGACAGGCTTCCTAGTCTGGACAGGTTTTGCCTCATCGGATCCCTGAATCTGCTCTTTGTCTATCCTGCTTCCATCCTGTGTCTTTCAGGTCATTCCCACTGAGGTTCTCATTCTTAATCTGACGGTGTATAAGAAGTCAAAATCTAAGGAGATACCACTCATAATATAACATTTGACCTTTCTATCCACTACTGTAATACAATTCAATTTTAGTATTACAAAACCTACTACCCATTGGTCAGAGTGCTTTGTTACACTTGATCTCTGCTGATTTCTGGATCGATTTTCTAGTCCTTTCTATCCCCCCCTCCCCCCAAAGACGTCTAGCTTGGGATAATCCTGTTTTCTCTTTCCAAAGACAGCTGGGGATTCTAGGATAGAAGACAGTTTCCTAATACAAGTTGGACTTCAGGCCTAGGCCAAAAGGTACTATTCTAGACACCCCTGTGGAAAAGACAAAACAGGAGTAGCTCCTAAGCGTTGGGACAGCAACAAGTGTAAGAGAGAGAAGGTGTGATCTGACAGGGCGAACATTCCAGTTCTGGAAGGAACGTGGTTCTGGCAAGGAAACCCCCCCCAGACAGATACAGAGAAAAGACCAGGGGGTAACCATTCAGAAGGCTGAATCACAGCACACTGAGCGTCTGGAAACATCCAGCCAAAGAGAATCATTTATTATTTAGAACTGCAGGCTGTGAAAGTTAATCAATTAGATCCAAGTTGCCCTGATGAGACAAACGATTACCCCTAAAGTCTGAGCTTGCCACGAATCCTCCTCAACGTTTGCTTTGTGGAAACAAACTAAAATATTGTGAGGAGACATGGTAGATGACTTTCCTACCTCTGCTACATTTACATGCAAGCTACTTAGTGATTTGGGGAGCACTGCTGTTTTCACGGTGTTACCTTTTCACAGTTAATTGTGGGCACACTAAATACAGCATAGAACGCACGAGTACTTATGAGGTAATTTCAGTAAACCCACCACAGATAGGGATTATGTAGTATGCATAAACATGCACATAAATCTAAACATATATATTTAAAGACAATGAATAAATACACAGAATTAAGACACAGAATTAAAGTTTATGAAAATGGGTACACAGAGTACTTTTGTTTGGAGAATGCCAGTTGTCTTGAAATTCCTAAGCATAGGCAGATCTATACTACGATATATATAGTGTGTATATAGATATGTATATCTATATACACACTATATACACACTATATAGATATACATATACATATCTATGTATATGTATATGTACATATATATAGATATACATATCTATATACACACTAAGATATATATGATATATATTATATATATATATATATATATATATATGTAATTTCTGGCCAACAACAACAAAAAAACAAATAGAAGCAATTTCTCCAGGGTGCCTTTCCTCCTAGAGTACTGTGTAAAGGATGTAGGAAAAGTCTGGAAAGAAAGGTGTGTCTGCATGCATACACCCTAGATGGGGTTGAGTTTCTCATGTCTGACAAATGAGTGCTAATCCACTAATCATGTAATCCCTCATCTTTCACATCCAGTCCTCTGCCCCCGGATGACTTCCTTGGGTTCTAACCACTAGCCCCGCAGACACATAATGGTCCCTGTTTGACACTTGCTCGAGTTCTTATAATATTGCCACATGGTACACTTGTAGTTACTTTCCACAGGCTTCCCATGAGGCCCAGCAGTGGGAAGAGCAGCCTACTTACTTGTGTTTATCTTCTGGAGAGAAATGTGCTTTTCCAGTTGTCTCCGCAGCTTGACCTCAGCTCCGTATTTCCCGGTGGTCCCGTTGTCAGCCAGGATGAAGTGGGAATGCATGCTGTTGAGAACAGTGAGCTTGCTCATGGGGTTGGACATGGTCTGATATGGCCGGACAACCTGCAGGATTTCAAAAGGAAGAGGTGGAAGTCAGAGAAAGAGCGAGCAAAATATGAAAAGGAGAACAAGCCAGAGAGGAAACAGAGAGAGAAGTATAAATCAGTTCTTTGGTACAGTGAAAACAGTTTATATCCTCTTCCTAACACCACTGTGGGTAGCAAATTTTATGGTCAAAGTTCCCCAGTCACAACAAGATTATACTTAAGGAATAACATGTTTATATGCTGAATTTGATACAGAACCTAGAGTTTGTGCTCTCACCATACTCAAAAACTGGCATGTGAAGGATTGTGTCATTGTGAGGTCGATCTTTCATCTGCTGACGAACCATAAGTAATTTTAACGTTTACTCATTTTGTTTTTTCTTTCTCTTCTGCACGATGTCCATACTCCAATGGGCACAGCAGAGCCATCATGGTTCTGGAGTAGGGTTGGGTTGAGGGTGGGGGCCAGGTAGATCTTTTCAGTCAAGCCCATTCAGTCATCTGAAGGTCTGTTAATTCGAAAAATCAACCTTGTTCTTATTAGACACCTTATTTAAGTGGAAATACTGAATGCCAAATACGTGTCTCGTGAAATGAGCGTGAATCAAAATATTCATCTCTGTCTTTGTTTGTTATTGTGTTATTTTCATTTCGTGGTGAATTATACTATCCCAAACAGAGTAAGTCTTTCAGTTTTTTATATCAAAAGAAAAGTAAAATCTATTGTGAGTTTGGGTTGCTAGTTCTAGTTGCATTATAGACATTACCTACATTCTTTGCAACAATCCTGCAAAGTGGGTGCTCTCATGTTTATCTCAAAGATGGAGAAATGGCACTGGAGGTAAAATGGGTTTTTCAAGAGTTTCTTATGCACAAACCAGAACTGACATCTGGGTCTGATTCCAAAATCTGTGCTTGTTCCCCTGCCCACACTGCTTAGACATGATGAAAACAAGATGATGCTTTGGAAATCTACTCCTAAAATATTTAAGTAGAGACTCCACTCAAGACCATGAAAAGGAAAGCTCAACAAGCTCATTGTTACAAGGCCTGGTATGGTTATCCTTATACTGAATCATCAGAATTGACAGGACAGAAATACATGCTACTGGGTTTTTATTTCCATGTCTTTGTGCGATGTGTACATTCATTATGGAGTTGAGACACTCTCATTCATTTTCAGTATGTAATAATTCACTCATGAAAAGCTGTAGTAAGATTGAATAGTTTGCTAAAGAAATTACAAAGTGATTTAGTAAGGGCAGTCTTTAATAGTAGAGATCTCATAAAAGTCATTTTTTTTTTTTTTAGATCTTGATTCTGATTTCAAAATCCATTTCTATGTGACTGGCACACAGAATCTACTCAATACATAGTGAATGAATGAACAGGAAAACTTGAGACAGGCATGTTTTTGTTTAAAATATATATAAAAAAAAAAGGACCCTCTCTTTTCTGAATTGCTTGGGAGTTGAACTAATCTAAATTTAAAATGTGTAATTTTGAGCCTTTGAAATAGCCTTCATTCCTTTTTCATGTATGTCTTATTTGTTAATGTAGCATTAATACAACATTAATTCATAGCCTCATTTTAGTTGACTCTTAGTGATAAAGGAAGCTCGTAACTTTCCGATTATTGTTTCCAGTAATGGATTGGATATTTTCCAGTAATGGAGCGGTATTCAATTACTGCTTTGTCTAGAGGAGTGCACGAGAGTCCTCCAAAATACAGAGACAGCGGTTTGCTAACTCCATCCCGAGTTCTTTATCACTGGAAGAGTGGGTCGCCTGTGGCTAAAATTCCCATTTTGTTGTTACTCATTTTTGATTATAAAACATTCATTCTATAGCAAAGTGCAAGTTAATAAATATTAATGCCTTGCTGAAAGAAAAGAGGCTTAGCAGAAGGACTTTCTCCTATCCTTTAAGAGCCTCTGCATTGTGCTTTTGGACAAAAGAAAATGCTTTAGTTACTCTACACTATTTTCTGAGCAGGTCCCCAAGTCTCCATGCCAAGGAGGAGGAAGACCCAAATTATTTCTTTGAGAGGCAGGGGACAGTGGATTTTCTAGAGGTTAAACAGTGTGTGATAGTGAATCCTAGACACTTGTTCTAGCTGAGACATGAGAACACACTTTTTAATTCCTGGGAAGAGAGTTAAAGACCATCAGTGAACACGAAATTTTCAAATGAAGAAGGTTGTGAAAATAATTCTGGGCCAACTGACATACTTACCACAATCTGAGAATAACAGAACTGCATTAAATCATCTAACTAAATTCTCTATGTTTCCTCACCCACAGGATTCTAAGGACAGTGGGGCATCAGTCTTCTGAGTTTGGACCTTCTTTTCTTGTGAAACATGGTGTACCAGCTCTTTGGAAATACTGTTCCTTTGAATCAGTCATGGCAAGTCAAGTTTACAGTAGCACACATGAATTTTAATTTCTTCATCTTACTGCTCCCCGTTTTGTTTGATCTCATATGAAGGTAAGTTAAAGGTGGTCATATTTTGGCAGAGATTTTGTCTGCTGTGTAATAGGGGATATACAACTGGAAAGTAAGTAAAATGCCCTAATTTATTTTGCTATCATCATTGGAGGAAGATGTCTGCCATATCCTTGAGAATCCTGGTCATACAAGCCATGGAAATCTGTCCGAATCCCATGAGTTCTGCCAGCTGCTGTATAAATCTGAGGTTCACATTTTTCATCTGTAAAAGGGAAGTGAGAACACCACTTAACTTCACGGGTTAGATGAGATTATAGGTGCAAAGTACTGGGCACTTTGCCTGGTTCCTAGCAGGCAATCTATAAATGGGAATTCCTTCTCGGGCTTGGCTTTATTCTACCAACTATAAACTGATTTTCCCACTGCAAGCTAGTGACCAAAATGATATGATGACAGACAAATCACAGACTTGTTTTCCACAAGAGATCTGAATCAATCTTTTTAAGTAAAGAAAAAAAAATAGCAACCAGTTGGCAAAACACACCACGTGGCGTGTTTTTACTCCGTCACCTTCTCTCAGGCCATTTAAGAAGGCGAGGCTCTGGAATTATTGGTGGATTAGCTACAAAGTTGGAAAGAGCTCCCCAAGTGCTTCAAGAGGAATGCGTGTTGGTCTACTTGCCTCCAAAATCCTCTTAATATTCTTCATAACAAACATACCAGCAGTCTATTCTTGTTGAGTTACAATTTGCATATCTACAAAAGACTTGCTGATCTTCCTGTTGCTTCTCAAATCGGGGAAAAAAAAGTCATGCCTTCGTGTCACATGAATACAAATGAATTCTTCCCTCTGACAAATTTTGGAGGTAATGCATCTCCTTGCATTGTTAAGAGCTCATAAAAAAGCGCTTTTTTGGAAGTGTGTGTGTGTGTGCGTGTGTGTGTGTGCGCACATGAGCCCACAGCAAGAACAAGTGTGACACGTTCTGGACTTGTAGATGTGTTAGATGGCTCTAACACATCTCTCAGCCCCTGTTTTCTGAGAGCATCAAATCCTAATGCCTATACGTAATGGATGACTCCCCTAAGAATAAAAGATGGTCCAGCTTATGTACTATCTTTGAGGGAATTAAGAAGAGAATCACTCAAATCGTTTTCCATGTTCATATTTCAGATGTGGAATCTGGGTTGAGGAAGGCTGAATGGCATCTGAAAGGCCTTCATTATTGGTACATACAGAATTATATATACCTAGATGGGAAATCTGCTTAGAAGTGGATTTTGGATACTTTGTACTCTTTGGGTATCCTGGGCCAGTATACCTCTAAGTAATAACATTTTTGCCCCTTTCTTGTCCCTCAAGGCAAGATGGAAGAATTCTGCACTCCTTGATACATCTACACCACTTTGTACTGGTTGACTGGCACCTGGTTCCAAGGCCTCTGTATATCTTGACTCTGAAACAAAGAGGTAAGGAAGTTGAAATTAATGTTCAAGAAACTAATGAAGGTGGGGGCACCTGGATGGATCTGTCAGGTAAGCAGTTGACTCTTGGTTTTGGCTCAGGTCATGATCTCAGGGGTTGGGGGATCAAGCCCCAAGTTGGGCTCTGCAATCAGTAGGGAGTCTGCTTCTCTCCCTCGCCCTCTGCCCCCCACCCACTCTCTCTCTAAAATAAATAAATAAAAATCTTTTAAAAAAAGAGAGAGATTAATGAAGGTGAAAGCTCTTGATGTACTTTTAGGGTCATTATTGTTGCCGGGAGGGGACCGATCCAGAGACACCATGGAAAATCTGAACATTTTTTATGAGCTGGTGTCAGTTTGCTACATTTCTTACCCACGGGGGTACTTCAGTGGATCATTTGGGAGCTGATCTAAGATATCTGCTTGAGTTTTTTAAAGTTACTTTCACACATGTTCTGGTCTCATTCAGGAGTACTTAGTGGACAGTCAGGAGATGGGGGGGCCTTCTAGTTCCTCCAGCTACTCATTTGTGACTTTGGGCAAGTCTTTCAACTCATTCCTTTCTTCCTCTATTCATACATTAAGAATGCCTTGAGGAAATGTTCCTGGTAAGTACTATGCTGGCTTGAGGAGACATACAACTTTGCACCTAGGTAATGTCTTTCACTGAATGTTCTAATTACATTGAAACTACTTGTCTGTAGTTTCTAAGGGCTTTCTATCTCTAAGATTGAGTCTGAACAGCCTGTGTTGAAAAGTACATTTGCTTCTTCCAAGGAAGCACAGAAAAAGGATACAGAGGTGGGTCACTCCTGTCCTGGGGTCTCCTTCCCCTTTCTAGTGCTTTCTACTATGCAAGGGCAGTTGGCTCATCTGAAACTCCTTCCTGAACAGAACTGAATTGAGCTCAGCTGGGTTCTTGAGTCACCCATCGCAGGCCTTCAGCAATCCCTGAACTTATGATCCGGTGAGGTACGTATCAACATGCTCATGGCAAGTAACAGGCAGGCAGAATACCGAAGCATTTGTTCCCTCATAACAGCACTATGATTTTAATTTAGGCAGGAAGAAAGTGAGGATTTACTGATCATTTATTCTA